CACACACACACACACACACACACACACACACACACACACACACACTGCTCCTCTCCTCCCTTTTTTTATTCTCTAATTCCTTCATCCCTCCCCATTTTACAGCGCGATCTGCACCTCCCGGTTGCACAGCATCCCTCTCCCTCGCTCCTTCTCTCCCTCACGCGCTCGCTCTTTAGCTCTCCGCTCGCTCTCAAGCACATGCAGACACAGAGGGAGAGGAGAGATGAACGGGGGGCTCGCATGTGAGGTTCTCCTCAGCTGCCGGGGTAAGGCAGGTCTGGTGAAGACAGAAGAAGAGGAGGTCTAGAGGAATACTGCAGTGATCAGCCAGATTATTTTTCTTTTTTTTTCTTCTTCCCCCACTGAGTTTTATCTCACTGCCTCACTGCTCTTGTCCCCCTTTCTTCTTCATCCACTCTTCCTCTCAGTGAAACCATGAAGATGCCTGCTGCTTGTTGCTAAGGGGGGAGCCTACCAGTGGAAGCAGAGGGAACCAGGCGTTTATTTTGTTTGTTTGTTTGGAAGGTAATAAATGCTTTAGTGTTGTCAAGTTGTTGCAAATGTTGCATTGCACTGGACTGCATGCATGCTCAGAGTGAGCTGGGCTTTGGGACCCAATGCAATTTTGCTTCAGATTGTGTCCAAAGCTTGGCATGCATGATGTGTGCGAAGTCGTTGTCAGCGTATCCAGTTTGTTTCACACGACTGGGTATGTGTGGGCTTGTTTTTGGTGTCTTTGCAGTGGGGGTTCCGTTCTGTGTTTGTATTCGTCTCTCCACAGGAATCGGTGTTTGCAGGGGGCTTAGGTCGGTGGTTGTACGTGTGCTGCACATAATCACACACCCATATGTGTGCACTACACAAACTTCAAAACCTTGGACCTGTTTTATGTGAACCTGAGCAGCTACTCTAATTTGGGAAGGGATTGTTCTCTAAAATTCCAGTTTCCCGTCTCTGGGGGAACTATTTGCACCTTTTTATTTTCTTTAAAGCAGGWGCTAAGCAATCCATACCACCTGCCTTTCTGTACAGCGTCTGAGGTGGCTGCAAAGATTACCTGTCCAATGTGCTTAGACTCTAAAAGGAGCACCAACCTGTTTGCCAGTGAGGAGTGTTGCCCACCACACTTCTCTTGGTAATAATAAAGGATGAGGGGTCAATGCCTGATTACTCATTTGTTTATGCACATCACTGTTCACGTTCAGCTACAAGTTGCATGGCTGAAAATGACACATCTCTGCTTAAATCGTTTTCCCATCACATCCCCTTGGCAAGAAACGGTGTCACCAAATCAGGTGCTGTACGAAAGTTTCAAACTGTGCCTGATCACGTGTTGTCATTATAAAATATTGCCTCTTTATCTCTTCAATAGCTCATCAYAGCTCTTTTATAAATATAAGTAGCTGTTACAGTGGATAGAGCCACGTTAAGTGGTATGAGTTAGATGCCTTTGTCACGATTTSTATTTCAAAAGAACAGAATCTGAATGAACAAAAATTAAGAAGCAGCTGAACTGCGGGATATAATTACCCTGAACTCAACCCCTTTTTGAACCGTTAAAGGTCTACCAAAGAATTAAAGCTGTCTCATACAGACACCAGCCTCTAGTTGGAAAGGGTAGAAAGGGCCGAGGGTGCTGAGTGAACTCCAGATCTCCATAAGTGTAGGTTATGGAAATCCCGAGTTAAGCAGCATTAATGCTCCTTAAAGTATGCCTGTGTGACAGCTCAGGAAAAAGTGCTGGAGAGCGATTGGAAGCGATGAACAAATCCTTTAACAGCAGCTCTCAAAGCAGCGGCGCAGGCAGGCTAATGTGGGGTCAAAGGGGACCATCATAAGATTACAGTTAATGGAGTAGCATAAAAATCCCAGGAAAAACATAGTKGATAAAACTCACAACACTTTAACACTGTCAACTCACTGATAATCCATTTATTATGGAAAATCAACAGTTTGAAGTCTTTATTTTCTAACACCATCATTAAAATCTTTATATTTTGTTCTAAGGAGTATAACTTTCTTATGTGTGATCCTTATTGTTAGTTCTTTAGGCTTTCTGAATGTCTTTCAGAGATTTTCCTTGAACTTTGATAGCTTTTTATTCAATTTATTTCTCTTTTTTTTCTTATAACAGTGTATCGTTCAGTTCAAAAGGAAAATAGGCTGAAAAAACAAACAGWTGACAGCAGATAAACTGTGTCTGAAAGTTATATTTTTAGAAATGGGGGAGAAAATCCAACAAAGATATGACACAGGACCTGATGTACATTTCAGCTAATAGCTTTTTTGGAAATAGTCTTGTTTTAGCCATAAAATATTTTATCTTTATTTTTTATAGATTCAACCACAACAATAACATAAGAACAACCTGTATCTTTCCAAATGACTGTTAAAAACTATTCAGTTTAGAACTGGAATTTTATTTGTTGACACAACACTGGTTTGTTCATTGAGATGAGGATCTTTGCCTCAATTGGTCAATRGGTCATTGGTCAAAATTAAGTGGCAAAATTTAGTTTAAAAAAAGCAGCCAAAAGTCCAAATATAACAATTGAAAGCTCTTCACAACGTCAAAAATCTATTAAACAAGACAGTGACAGTGTTAATGGTTACAAAGAAGTCTGACATCTTAAAAGCAAAATTTGGAGAAAAGGCTCAAGACTTTTGCACATTGCTGTATAAAAACTGTTTGTCTGTGACATACGTCAAATACAGAAAGTTAAAAAAAAACATCATTTAAGAAACATAATACACGATTTCACCCATTTTGTCACATAACTGTATATTTTCTTTTGAACTTGGCTCAGACATGGTGAAACAGGAAGTGACATCAAAGGAGAACTATTTAAGACAGGAACTCCCTGGTCGTTGTTTTTTTTTTTTTTTTGAAACAATATTATTTGTCTCTTAATCTCTCTCTAATAGTGACTCAAAATAATCTAAAGAAACATCATCTTCTTCTCTACAGTCCATATTGTCATTTTAGCAATGCTCTGTTCACATTCAGACATTCCCCTTTGTCATCACTTCCTGTTTCTTCATATGCAAATTTCTCAACAAATGTTCATCTCAGCAGCGTGAACTTTTATTATTTTTTTGCAATATGTTATCTCTCCAAAAAACATTCATTTTTAGTATAAACATTTGATGTCACATGCACTTTGAAGTTTATCAACATGTATTTCTTCGCTCGTCTAATCTCTGCTGAATGCTGCAGTGCTGATGTGTTGCTTCCGTTTCTCTGTAGGTCGTTGTGAAAATGGCGGAGGGGTCCAAGGATCAGGGAGGAACGGGCACGTCTGAGCCAGAAGAGGATTCCCCCAATATGATTGTCTACAGAAAGGCAAGGCATGCCTCTATGTCCAAACTACAGTGTCTTGTCTATAAATGATGTGAGAAACATTCATTGTAAACAGATTCCTGTCAGTGCAGGGGTCTGCATCAGAGTCCATCTGGTTTCTCTGTCAGGTGTCAGGAAGACTTCCTTTCTACCATCTTGAAAGGAGMTCCACTCTCTCTTTTCCTTCCGTCGGGAGCCTTCTGTCTCCTCCTGAATCTGTTTCTAGGCTGGTCTCCAATGCTTTAATAATCTCTCCAAACCCTTCAGTTGAAGGTTTGGGCAGTGAGAGGTCCTTTCATTGTTTAGGGYAATTACCTCATCGCTGTGGTGCCTCAGTTTCAATCACTGCTGTTTGATTGGAGAGGGTTAGCAGTATTGAAGGCTAATTAGGTGCATATTCGGCCAGGGAGAGGAATCTAAAATCTTAAGGGCTGGGCTCTGCAACAGCCAATGGGGGAGTGGGATTTCTGCTATCTTGAAGAATAGCTTGTTAATTCACTGTCTCCTGTGACAGGGCCACTTGTGTGAAAAGAGCTTCTTTTGATCAGACGGCCCACAGAATCCACTACCACTGAGCTTGCTGTCTTGATTACAGAGAAAAAAAGTGGGCTGTAAGCAGAAGGCAGCTGACAGATCCTGACCCACTGTCCTAAAATCTGCTGTTTCATCCTGCCCCTGCTGGCTCTTTATTCATGTAGCAGAAGAATGGGTAGGACAGGATGTGAAATAGTTGTTGACAGTCACTGTGTCAGCTGCTGCGCTTTCTTTTTTGAAGCTTTTATTCTGCATGTGGCCCACCTGGGGAAAAAAAAAAAACTGCCAGGACCTGTTTGGTTTTCGGCATCTTGACAAAATCTCCGGTGCCGATTCTTGCGGTAATGATGTTGACATTGTGCTATGAACAATGTCACATGTCAGTGGTTAGCAGGGTAATGAATAGTGAAAGTGAGATGACAGCAGCAACTGATTTCCCTGCAGTAAAATACTCCCAACTGTTAGGGGACAGATCCAGTCTTCTTACATATTTGCATCCCTTAAYGGCAATTACGAAGAATAAAATTAGAAATATGACTGTTTTGAGACGTGTAACTGCAGATGTAACAGCTAATAAGCAAACCAAGAAGTCCCTTGGGGTTGTTTTAAATGCTATTCAAGAACAAAAGTGCCACAAACTCACAGCCCATTATCAGCGCTAGCCTGTGCTGAAGGACAGTGGTTTACTGACGTGTCACGAAAAGGGCACAATGCTGCATAGCTGGCTTGAACTTTGGCCACTTTGCACGGTATAAACAATCCCTGCATGGGTTCTAGAAATAAGCCATCCATATCTACCCCGCAAGGAGAACATCTGAAAAACTGCAAGCATTCATCTTAGCTGCATTTCAGCTTAACCTAAAACACCCTTTGCAGACATATAAAAAACACTTTTAAAGGGAACATATCATGCAAAATTCACTTTTTTAGCTGTTAAATGCATTTTGTTGTGTACTTGGAGTTTCTAGAAGTGCAGAATTTAGTTTCTCCCGGTGCTGCCCAGATATCTTTCTTTTTAGTCTGTTTGGGTCATATTTTTCAAACCGTTCAGTTTTCTCTGTTTTCTATTCTGAACTGTTACATCAGAGTTTTTAGTGACAGAACTTCTAAATAAGGTCTGGACTTTCCAACTACACTTTCATTGTCTTCATTCCCCGTCTGGCTCTGGGTCAGACTCTGGCTCCAAGATGAAAGCCTGGATGGACAAGTCTTCTGTTGTTGATATCTTTTAATTCATTTGTAATTAAAACATTTCTGTGCTGCTATATAGTCGTAAATCCCTCTATCAAGCCACAGTGGAACGCTCAGGAAGCTGGAGGGGGGCGGGGTGTGATGTGCCTCGTTTGGATTTAAAGAGACAGCCTCAAAACAGGTTGATCTGAGACACACCTCATAAAAGAGGTGAAAGTCCAAAGCATTGAAGCTCCACTTTATATAGACCCCAACTGAACAATTTAAATGTGAAAAATAAGGATTTAAAMGCAGAATATGACTCMTTTAACAAGAATTGTGTATTTTGACCATTTTTACTTCTCTTGGCCTTGACCAGTAAAGCAAACAACCTGTTGAAACCAGTGCGTATTACTTTGCATAAGACTAAGATTAAGACTAAGATTACCACACGCTGCCAAAACAGGTTCAATGAACTTAGGTAGAGTTTTTCAAGTGGCTTTAAAGGCTCTGCTGGAGTWAAAGARTTTCCTTCCTTCAAATCATTTCCACTCATTTGGTGTTTGGATGATAAAGAGTTGCATCAACACTCAAAAATGTCTCACACACAGTAGGTGCTCAGCTGGTCACCATGTGAGTCACATTGCTTTTCACATTTTTTTAGTCAGAAWATCATCTATTGATCTTTGTGCAACMAWATCTTCTCACAGCTGAAGTCAAACACTTGTGTTTCTCTTCGATTTGACGCCCTTTTCAGCTTTCTGCATGCGTTTGTTTGGATATTTATTTCACAGATTCTCATGCACAATTGTACATCCATGCATTCATAGAGATACAGAAAAGAGCATACTGTAATTTCACCGGGTTTCTCTTCATGAACCTCTCAGTGCGGCTTTATTATGTAACACTGCACAAGCCTGGAGGCGACACATTTAAAAGGCTAGATTTTGCTTGTCAGGAAGCTGCCTGCAAGAATATTCGTCGTTTCATGTTTTAGTCACACGCAGTGACATCAGACAGATTATTCTGAGGGTGACAGGACTCCTTGTCCTCCCTGTTTTGTAAATATGACTTTTTATTTGAAGCTTCTAAAGAGGGAAACTCAGAAGGCACAATCCAGAGTGACCCCTTTTTAATTTAAATAAAATAGAAAATACAGTAAATGCAGTACTTTTCATCATCTCATATTTTGTGCTCATTGCCCGTAGAATGTCAAGGAGTCCCAAGAGAAGGGAGGTTTTGAATCTTGGAGGACCAGGTGCCCAAAGCCTCTGGACTCAGTGGGTGGGCAGCGCAGCGTCGTGTGAAAACTGAACGGTGTTCCAGAGAGGCAGATGGCCACCAATATGCTCCGCCATCTAGAAAAACACTGGCAGCCTCGTCCCAAATTCTCGAGGAGACATCAGCATTTTTATTTTACCTGCAAGGAGTTAAAACTAGTGTGACCTTAGAGAAATAAAATATGCATCAACCTCTTTCTGATGTGTGAAAGGCTCATCCTCCAATAACGGCTGCACAAAAAAAAAAAAGAATTAAGTTCACTGTGTAGGCAGTTAGACAAAGGTGAGGATGACGTGTTTAGCCATAAGAGAAGTTGAGTGCTCCAGAGAGGAGGAGGTTGTCTCTGTTTGTGCAGCGTAGGTGCTACAGTACTATCTTTCCCCGTCTCTCCACCCATGAGAAAAAGGAAGTAGAGCAAAACAAGCTGATACCTGCAGGACGTTTTTTTTTTTCACCACAAAAAGAAAGTTGGCATACAGACGTGGGTTGCACACACACACACACACACTCGTGCACGACATTCATGCATTGTGCGCCGTAGCGGTTCTCTCAGCTTGCTGTGCACGTATAAAAACCATAAGAAGAGGCACCACTGTGCTAGGGAAATGCTGTGAAGCTGAGAACAAAGGCCACTTTACTGCTCTGATGGAAGCTCGCTAACTATTATTAGCCAACATCTCTTGTCCCTAAGTGCATATGAGTGTCTTTCCCCCACTTTTCCTTCATGTCATTTGGGCGCWGAGAGTCTTCTGAGGTGCGAGGGCTGCAAACAGCTAATGACTGCAGAAAAAAACAATCTTATCAGGATGATCCTTTGCTGTTTACTCCTACCTGAAGATGAGAATTATGGCTGCCGTCTGTGGTACACAATTCTCAGAAAGCCCCAATTTAGATTGGTCTTTAGAGGCATTAATGCATAAAAAACCCTAAATGTTGCATTTTGTCCTAATGATAGCAGTTATGGTGCAAACCCGCTAAATTACAGGGAAATTCTCACTTCAGCACTTCAGATGTAGCTTGAGGATGATTAGCAGTTATTTAAGCATTGCAGAGTCTTCCGAGTAAAGCTTCGTAAAGCTGCTGTGGAGAAACATTTTTAACCACCTTCCCACTTTTCATCTTCCGCTGCTTTTTGCAGTCTTTCTTCTGCTCCTTGGTAATTAATAATTGAAGCCCATATCGAGCATCCCATCTTCAGAAGAAAAAAAATCTGGTCCTTTGAGACGTCATATCCCATTTTCCTCCTATTCATAAAAGGCCCTTTTCRTAAGATTGCTTCATTTATTCACTCCTGTGCATTACTCTTGGAAAAAAAAAACGTGAACACATGCGAATGACACATCCACGTCTAACAACGCTAACTCTCACATTCCACCTTTAAATGCTTGCATATTAAAGTGTTGCACAGCATAATTGAGTGTTTGCTCTTGCCGTGGCAGCTGCAGGGTGACTAATACAGGTTATCATACCTGCGTCACTCCCTTTGAGTAGATGGAGGTTGAATTTAACATTGCCTGAAGGGTRAAGGAAGCAGAAACAAAAATGCTGTCATCATTCACATGTTTGACTGTTGTCAATATGAGATCGTTTAGAGAAAGCACAGTGAGGGAGCTCCATCTGATCATACAGTTTTGTACTGTACAGCAATCGCACTACCGGTTGGACATTATCACTCCCTTGAATGGTGGAGGAAAATAAAATTACTGTRAATGGCAGCTTTATGCACCACTGAGTCAGCAACTACTGCAGGGAGGGCAGCTGGTTGGGTTCGAATACCTAAYAGAAGCGATCCTAGTGGCTCTGGTTTGGAAGAAGCTGAACTACTTCCTTTAGCTGCCAAAGAGTTCCACACTCTTGTATCCCTGAAGGGCCTCATGCCGAGCATATCTCTCCTCTTTTAGGCCTAAACCTCAGTCCGAAGTGTTCATGGGCTGCCATTTGTTCTGTGTGCTCCCAGATAGCCCGCTCCAGCTAAACACTCTGGATATCGCTTCTGCAGGGACGAGTTCGCAGAGCGC